AGCTGGTTCAGGATATAGTTCCGAGGTAGAACTCAGAAAGGTAATAAGATCATGTTTATTAGTGATGTTGCAAGCCAGACATGTAGCAGGTGCTCCTGAATGCTACTTCCCTTCTACTCAGGATAGGATGGGCAGATGCACAACCACATCTGTCATGCCAACTCTTTGTATACTCTCTAAACATGTTCTACATGTACATCTTGCACTAAGTTTATAAACAAGTGATTTGACTGGAATTTATTGGGCAATTTATAAGGGCTGGTCATCATCTTGGAGGAGTTATTAGTTTATAATAGGCTAAGAAAAAGTAATTACAATTGCAAACAGTTATTTAGCATTTGTTGTGTGCAGTTGGTGTTGAAAATCCTTTACAACAGCCCTATGAAATAGAACTATTATTAGTCTCATTTTCCTGACGAGGAAACTGAGGGACAGAGAAGTCAAATACTTGTTCCAGTTCACAAAACTTAAAACTGGAGAAATTGGGATTTGACCCAGGTTTTTCAGTTCCAACATCTTGGCTTTTGTATTATCCCACTTCTGTAGGTTACTATTAAATGACTAAAATATAATTTAATCCTCTGAAGTAAATGCTGTGGGAATATAAAGAAGAGGGTTTATTTCTTGTTCAGTAGAAACCTTGTGAAGGAAATAGCATTTGAGTTAGACTTCAAAGAATGGGAAAGATTTCAGTTGTGGGAAGATAATGACTGTAGTGATGAAAAGAAATAATTATAATGATGGAAATGAATGTTTGCTAAGCACTTACCATATGCCAGCAATTTTCAACCTTTTTCATCTCATGTTACAGGTATACTAATTACTAAAATTCTGCGGCACACCAAAAATAACTTTTTTTTTCTGATCTGACAAAGTATAGGTATTCTTTTGATTGATTTATAAAAATAATAATAATAGTAATTACCTACCCTTTTTTCTCCATAGTGACCTTTTAAAAAGTCAGTTGCTGCCCTAGCTGGTTTGGTTCAGTGAATAGAGCATGGGCCTGTGGACTAAAGGGTCCTGGGTTCTATTCTGGTCAAGGGCACATCCCAGGGTTGTGGGCTTAGTCCCCAGTAGGCGGTGTGCAGGAGGCAGCCAATCAGTGATTCTCTCTCATCATTGTTGTTTCTATCTCTCTCCTCTGAATATATATATGTAAATAATAAAAGCATAATATGCTAATTAGACCAGACAGCTGAACAACCTTCCAGACGTCCTTCTGGATGACCTTCTGGACGAAGCCAGGGCTTCGAGGGCTGGCTGAAGCTGTGAGGGGCTGCGATGGCCAAGCCCTTGCATGAATTTCGTGCATAGGGCCTCTAATATATTTTTTAAAAAAATCAGGTGCCACACTTGTATATAAGGATTTCTGGTACCAAGAATTAACCAATCACATGCACCTTGTTATGCGATGTGACCAATAAAATGGAACTCTATTAAATGACCTATATACTTATGGTTCAAGACAGGGCATTCACACTAGATGGCTATTGTGTTCACTGTTGTCATTTTTTTATTTGATAGTCTAAGGCAGTGGTCGGCAAACTGTGGCTCGCGAGCCACATGTGGCTCTTTGGCCCCTTGAGTGTGGCTCTTCCACAAAATACCGACTGTTCCACAAAATACTGACTTCTGTGCATGGGCCACGAAGTTTCAATCGCACTGTACGTGCGCACCTGCAGCCGACCACTGTCTAAGGGAAAAGAGGTCAGTGCCCATGACTAAATAGTCAGTTATTGCATGCTTTAAGAATTCTTGTGGCACACCGGTTTAAAATCGCTGCCATATACTAAGCACTATTTTAACACTTACAGATGGATTATCTCATTTAATCTTTACCAGTGCTGAGGTACTTTTGAGTGTTTCCATTTTATGGTTAAAGAAACTGACATACAGGTATGTGCCTGTGTTATCACTGGTAGAAAGTGGGGGAGGTGGGATTTGAGTTGGACTCCAGACTTCTGGGCAGAGTGTTAGGGGGGGTGGTTCCATCCTAGGGGAGGAGAGTGATGAGCTTCGTCTCAGGTGAGATGGCATAAGGCACATTGGGGAGCATGAGGAATTTAAAACTGTAATTACCAGATTTTGTTGCACATCCCGGGCATCAAATTCAGATTCCCGGGCCTGTTATTAGCACTTGTTTCTGTACAGCAGATCCACAAACCAGCACCTGCAGAGCCCCCAGCCTAGAGCATGGCACACGTGCCCTTGTGCCCAAGTGGAGGTCAGAACATGGAAGGCTTCGATTTCATATTAAGGAGACGTTTATAGTTAGGCATGTCCATCTCTTTGCCTCTGATGAATGCATATGGGCTTTCAGAAGCCTTTAAAGAAAAAGTGGTTCTATGAACATCCTTGGGTGGTAAAACAGCTAAGGAGTCAGGTGATTGGAGGATGAGCTGATATTAAAGTTCACAGGATTGTGGGGCCTTTGGGAGGGAGCCTCTTCTGGGCCAGGAGAGGGAATCGGGTTCACTAGCCATATTCAGCATGTTGACTGAGAGTGGAGAAAGGTGTTTTGGGTAGAATATTTGGTGTATCCATCCCTGAGTCTGGCATGGAGGAAGTATATGTACACACTGTGAGAAGGAAAGTGTATTAAAACACTTACACACCAAAAACTAACGAAATGGACTCAAGCAATTCTGCCATCCCCGCCAACCTCTCATCTCTTAAACATGTTCCAAGCACTTCAAGGATCCTACTTATATATTGAAAAAGGAGCTTTTCTATTTAAGGTCAATAGGAAGCCTTCACAGAGGAGGTAATACCTGCCTATTCAGAATTTTAAATAGTGCATAGAACTTTGCAAAATGTGTAGATTTGCAGGTATAGATATAGCATATGAAAGAGGTATGGGGCTATCAAACAGTTGTTTGCCTTGGGAACAATAATTAACAGTGAGCTAAAGTGCGTGAAGGATGTGGGTAGAATGTTTGGCACAGGTTGAACTTGAGCCTGGAGTGAGTACATAGGAACGCCTACGTTGCAGGAAATATATATGAGGTATGTTGTTTGGCACATAATTGCTGTTTACATCACTAGTACTGTTATTATTGTTGTTAGACCAAGACCGGGCTGTGTTTATGGCACCATAAGAAACTTAGACTTTATCCTGTTGAGGATGTGGCTTTATATACCAAATTTGGGTTTCACTGCTACATGGAGACTGGGCTGAGGGATTTGTTCAGAGGACTGCAGTAATCCAGGCAAGAAATATTATAATGAAGGTCTGAACCAGGACAAAGGCAGTGAGGATAGAAGAGTGTATTAGTCAGTTCTGGCTGCTATAACAAAATAACCATAGACTGCCTGGCTTAAAAAAACAGACATTTATTTTCTCATGGTTCAGGAGGATGGGAAGCCCAACATCAGGGTTCCAGCAGATTTGGCAATAATGATTCCCATTTTGTGACATGCCAGAAAATTGGAAAATAGGTTCATTTACAAAATAATCGTGTATAACAAGAGTGGTATATCAGAGATCTAGGTTTGTATGTGGTATTGAGGTTAAACTTTCTACTTTTTTTTTACTGACATTTTGTCATTTTGAGTGTGATAGAGGGATATCTTACTGATAAAGGCATTTCCTGCCTTTCATCTCATTGTGTTTTTATTTCGATGCTCCTGCAGTGCTGCCTAAATATATGTACTTGGCCTCTTATCCGATACCTGCTTGTCAATATTTGCTGATATTTTAAATAGTTGGGGCAATAGTTTCTGGGTTGTTGGCATGTTAGACATGCAGTGTCTGAGAGGTGTCTTTTGGAGAGCTATTTTGAGGTATGATCTCCAGAAACATTGCATCAACACTTGTTCGGATAAATTTCCCTTGTTTGGGTGTGTCTCATTTTACTCCTTCGTTATATGGGTGTTAGGCGTATTCTGTACTTTTTTCATTTTATTAAAGCGTAATATTCAGAAATTTGCACATATGCATTTTCACAAAGTGAACATAGCTATAAAAACAGAACCTAGATCACTAGACTTTTTAACAAGTTTATTGATGTCATTTGGGAGGAAAATGAAGCCATGCGAATCTGCTGTGTATAAAGGAAAATGTGACCTTTAAACGTTTTCCTTTTACTTTCATATCAACTTACTTCCTGTTATATACTGATTTAAGAAGTAACTAATCATTCAGCTAGTCTTATCTCACATGTCAGTGTTGTACATATAATGCTGATGCTTTTTTGAAATGAAAATTATTGACCTGAGAAACACGTTCTAACTGTGCTTGTTAAGAAAGTGTTTGAAGAAAGTGTAATAAAGGAGGAAGTTGTTCATATCTGGTTGCTGTTAAGAGAAATCATCTAAAACTTGGTAATCAAAGAAGTATACAGCATGTTCTTTCAATGCCTTGTTGGGGGTACTGTTTAATCAGCCCACCCTCAGGATATTAATTCTAATTCTTGTGTTCCACTTTCTATTTATTATTGGGTTAAAGCCCAGGACTGGCAAGCTACCTATTCACTTACAGATTTTTCTCCAGTAGATAGACAACTCTAAAGCCTGTGATTTTATTACCGTGGAGGACATTAAACCAGTTTGTTTTTTTAAGTAACCTGCCAGTCTTACTCTAACACTAAGAGAGACAGAGACAGAGAGAGAGAGAGAGAGAGAGAGAGAGAGAGCGAGAGCGCTTTTTCTGATGGAACTGTGTAAGCCTGTTCCACAAATCATCTTGGAACTAACTTTACCATCTTATTGGTTCCTTTATAAACAAGTCGAATAACATTTTTGACACAAGTTCATTTTATAGTCCTGTGAGAGTCATTTTTCCTTGTTGAAAATCATTATTTGATGCTACCACAGCATTTCTGTCCTGTCCCTTCATGCTCTACCTAGGAGTCAACTTTCCAGGGCATCGCAGTAATGCACAAAGATTCCAAACTCTCAGTGGGTGAAAGTAATTATAAAAAATAATGTCATAGTTTATAATGTAAAACTAGGTTCTAACTACTAAAATTTCCTAATAAATTAATTTGTTTTTCTAGGCTGGAGCACATAAAGCACTCGCTATGGAGGAAATACCATTTTGAGACATTTTTCTGTTGCCGGTGAGAGAGGAAGAACCAATACAGAAGCGCACCCTCCTGTGTGTGTGTGTCTCATTGTACTGCTTTTTATAAAGCAGCTTAGTGATGAAGCCACCATTATGTCCTCAGTCAGTGAAGTAAATGTCGATATCAAAGATTTCCTAATGAGCATTAATTTGGAGCAGTATGTCTCACATTTCCGTGAGTTTGGTTTTAATACCGTGAAGGACTGTGCAGCCATAGATGACAGCGTGCTACACAAAATTGGAATATCACCTACAGGACACCGGAGGAGGGTCATTAAACAGTTACAGATAATCTTGTCAAAAATGCAAGATATCCCAATATATGCAAATATTCATAAAATAAAGAAGAATGATGAGACTTCGAAGGGTCACCCCGCTCCATCTTCCGGCCAGGATACCTGCATAGAACTCTCAGATTCATCTGGCGTTCAGACACCTAGTCCGGCGCACTTGGAGACTGTTACAAAAAATCTCGATCAAAGTGACATTGGTGTGGAAAATAGCCAGTGTCTTAAATCAGATGATGAGCTCTCTCTTCCTAAACACAGCTTTCCCATTCATGAAGAAGGACACCATCTGAAATTCGGTTCTTTTCAAGATTCTTTATTGGGTAGAGAAAATATTCAAATAGAATCTTTGACTGCAAAGGAGACTGTGGATTGTACAACTAAAGAACAACAAACAGAAAAAGTCGATTTGAACTCAGAAGATGTGAACAAGCTTCGGAATGTAGACCCTGACCGCCTTCCTTCCCTTGGCTCTTCAGTATCAGAAGCCAATTCTGGACATGGAACGAATGGTTTATTAGAAAGGTCACCACCATCCCCTCTCTTTAACTTTCAAGGACAAATGGTTATAAATGATTTGTATGTTCCATCATCACCATTCCTAACACCTATGAGAAGTCGTAGCAAGTTGGTTTCAAGGCCATCTCGATCTTTTCTGCTAAGACATCGGCCCGTACCAGAGATTCCAGGGTCAACAAAAGGAATTTCAGGGAGGTAAGAACTTTCATGATAAGTTGTAAGTGTATTCAATTTGGAGGAATTTAATTATTTTAAACAATTACATTTTCAGTGTTTAATTTTTCCTAAATTTGACTTCTGTTAATTTGCCTATTTAACTAACCTTTTCTTCTCTTTTACAACTTTTTTCGTTATGCCATCTCTCTTGAACACTATTCCCCAGAGTCTGTTTCCAACTCATAACTAACTGCCTGGAACTCTTTCGCTTTTGCCCACTTCATCTCTTTATTTTATCTGGCTATTCCTTCCCAGACCTTTCCTCCGCACCTGGTTTTGCATTCTTCCATGAGTGCTATTTTCATATTTGAATTGCTGACTCTGTCTCCCCACTAAATTATTTGTTCTTTGGCAGGGGCCATGTTTCTAATGTTTGTACTTCTACTTCCTGGTACAATGCTTGGCATGAATTAATAATTCAACAGACATCTAATGAATACCTACTTGGTACTCTTGGTCACTGTGCTAGGTGTGAAGGAGGTGGTATTTAAAAACAAAATCCAGCCAAGTAAATTTGAAGATCTAATTGGCTTTGCTCAATGGTTAATGAATCGGGCAGCATCCCATCTAGCAAATAGAAAGGAGCTCTGAGGAGCTGTACACAATGGAAGACTTCTCTAGGCAGATGGAGGCAGGGGGAGGACGATATTCTAGCAAAGAATGGATTGTTTCAGGCAAGGTCACGCTCCTTGGGGAGTGAAGTTGGGGCTGTCTTACAGATTGCCTTTCTAGCGTTGCACAGATAATTCTATATTATCCAGCTAAAGGTTTCATTCCAGGGAGAGACTGAAAGTGCTGTTGGGTTAGATTTTGTGGAGCTTAGCACGGGTGACTCCATTTTGAGTCTGTTGTTTCTTTTCTTTTTTTAACAATATAGAGGAATAATGGAGTTTGAAGTGTGGTGTGGGAGTCAGGTGTGAAATGATGGTAACAGTACAGTATGAAACCAGGTCCACTAGAGATGGGAACTCAAAAGAGGGGCCTGACCAGAGTGTCTGGTCATTGGTAGCATGAGGTAATTGCGGAGTCTGAGATGAGCCGACTTACAGCAGAGAGAGCTTTTATCTGTTTCTCAAAGCTAACACCTAAAATAGTCGTGGTTTTCCTCTAGTGTTGCGGTGGAATGTTTTTTTCACTTAAAGCTAACACTTGTCTCTCTGCCGGGAGCCATGAGGCTGTTCACGTTTGGCTGTTACTGATGTGATACTGAAAGCTATGACCGGTTTCTTGCACTGGCTGGAGGCTGGCATTTCTGCAAGATTCCCCCTCCCACGTGCCCCCCACCCCCGTCTACTCTGTGCCCTTGCTCTCTGGGACCTTTGGTAATTACAGCCTGAAATGGTGGTTGTATTTTCAAGAGAAAACATGGAGATTTAATATTTGCAAGAGAAAACATGGCAATTCATAAGACTGTTAATTTCAGTAACTCCCATTAGAGCTGCCACTCTTTGAGGGCAGAGGCTCTCATTTGTTTGTCTCCCTAGGTATCCCTAGTGCCAATAGCAGTGTGTAGTATTTATTAGGAAATCAGTAATAATAGTGTCATTTATTAGGTGCTACATTGGCTTATAATTTTCTATGGGTTATCTAATTCTCACAATGGCCCTGTGAAGTAGGTAATATTCCTCCATTTTCTTCCAAGGTAACTGAGTCTTCTGAGGTTAATTTTCCTAGGATCCCAAGGATAGTGAACTAGATTTCATTCCAGTAAATCTGACTTATATATAGAGGTATACCTTAGGGATATTGCAGGTTCATTTCCAGACCACCCCAATAGAGTGAGTCAAATTCTTTTTGTTGCTGAAGGGTCTTGCCTTCAATTTGTAAAAAGAAAAAGTAAAAGAAAGGCAACATCTGTGGAGCAGAAAAAGCTAAGTGCGATAAAATGAGGTATGCCTGTATAAGAATTGGGATATATCTCAAGAACATAGAAGACTAATTTTGGTATGACCCGTTAGCTTTAAAAATATTTTGCTAATTTTAAACAAAGTAACCTGAGAAGGGCCGCTGTGACTGTGCACATTAAAATTGCATCTTTGCCAGAACAAAATCCTTTTGGGAGCCATCAGGGTACCTTCAGATAAGAAACATTTGGCTTAAGTTTTAAATAAGATGTGCTAGTTTTCATAACTTGGAAGGCTTGTTATTCCCCTTATGACCACGAGTTCTTGAAAATGAGAATTGAAATAACATTAAAATTGGTAGAAAATAACTTGGTAGCTGCATTACAGCCAGATTACCTGTTGTAACCTTTCTTTTCTTCTTTGATTACAGCAGTAAGGGTAGTTACTCATTCGTGATGCTTAAATCATAAAAGAGAAAGTAATTCAGTTATTTTCAGACTTCACTGTTTATTTTTACTTGTGGTCCTCACCAGAGTTGCAAATAGTAATTGCAAATTAAAAAAAAATATTACAATTTGACATTTAAAATAAAAATGTGGATTCTGTAAACTGAGATTCTCTCCAATCAAATAACATCTAAATGATATTTAGTACATTCCTTGATGTATCAAATAAAAATATTTTTTTGTGGCCAATGCTTTCACCTAATTTCTTTACTAATTAAACTTTTCATGTAACTGTTATAAGGAATATGATGCTAGAAGTGCTTTTCTGAGGTGAAGCCCTTTGGGCCCCACCCCTTTATCTACACACTTGAATCTCCAGTCACAGGGATGGTTTTCCCTCTGCCTTGGGCATTTTACATGAGTTCCTGTCCTTTTCTCTGGACAGTTGGGCTGGGTGGTGCTGTGCTGAACAAGGAATCACAAGATCTCTTGTAAACGTCTACCTCTTGAGGGAGGGGTTAGCACGAGGCTGGAAGAGCCAGTTTCTTCCTTACTACCTTCACTTGGAGCTCTTCCTAGTGCTGTGGAAACCTCCAAGCAGAAAGCCAGTCCAACCAGCTGTCATTTCCTCGGGAGCCATAGGTGTGTCCTGTGATCCTTATGGGAAGATCCTCCATAGTGCTCTAGGCAAGAAGGAACAGGTAAATTTCTTATCCTCCCCAGTTGAATGATTTCATACATCTTTCATGCAATTATTTTTTTCTTGACACAAGTCAAAGAGCCCTCCCTTTTAGGTGTTTTGCCTCTGAATTTTTTGCGGGGACAGGGAAGGAAGGAAGCAGAGAGAGGTATTTGGGGAGAAGGATAGTATGCAAGGCAGCAACCCAGGTGTGTGCCCGACCAAGAAACTGTGACCTCCTGGTTCATAGGTTGACTCTTAACCACTGAGCCACACAGGCTGGGCTTTACAATGACTTTTTATAAATTCTGTGAAAAAATAGACTGTGAAATTTTGACTTGAACATCTAAATAAATCAAAATTTAGAGAATTAATAGTTTGATTTATTCTTAGAGGATAAAGATATCTTTCTGCTTAATTTTTACAAGAAAACATTATGCTTATACTTCCTTATTTTTCATAACTAAAAAAGGTCCACTTTGTTTGAAAAAAATATTTTTGTAAACTAAAAATAACTTTATAATAAAGAATAAAAAGCATTAATTTGAGCAAAAGAAGTTGCAGCTGGAGACACTGATTTAGGTAGTAACTTCAATTGTATTCCACCCAGAGAAGGGGGAGGCGTTCTTTTACATCCAAAGTTTTCATCCAATTAGGTCCATTTTATGTAAATGAGATAGTCAAATTAAACTTCTGATTTGTCCAAATCTCAAAATCTTTTTGGTTGGCACTATGCATTCTGATTTGGCTATTATGGAGTAGTTCTGATTGGTCTTGGTAGGTCTTTGTCCATTGGTCAAAAGATAAAACTAGGAACTCCTTTTTAATTCAGTTCTGTAATGACCTATACTCAGTCTTTTATAGTTAGTCTGTTAGGAATTGTAAGAACTGAAATTTCTTTTTAGACAAACATTCTCTGAAATGATGGACCCTTTATGGTCTGTAAATTATTTTTTGGTGTGTCTGCCTCACTTAAGTAATAGGTAAGTGTAAATATAAAGGGAGATTTTTGACATTAATTAACCTGTGTGCCACTGCTTTTCTTGGCAATTTTAGTGATTAAAAATATGTGAAAAAATAGCATCTGTAGGTATGATGGTGATTCTCCTTGATGATCAGTTATTCTTTTGCAGTTATTCTATATTGGTGTTTCATTTAGTATTATTTTTAAGATTTGTCTGCATTGATGCACATTATTTTGTGCAATAACTCCTGTGTAGTATTTTATTATAAGAAAAAAAACAACAACTATTTTCCTACTAGGTTGTTGACACTTTTTCACTATTACAAATGAAAAGAGTTTATACTCTTAATGGCTTTAAAAGTTTACCAGGAGGACCAACCATTATTTTTTCTAATAAAAATAATAATGATTGGGTCATTCTGCTGCGTGTTTGCATTGTATAGGACACAACTTATGCCCTTTAAATGCATTAGCTCATTAATTCTCATAATATTCCTAGGCAGCAAGTCCTGTTTTTATTCTCCTTAATTAAATGAGGAAACCAGGCTCTGAGCTGTTAGGTAACTTGACCAAGATGACAAAAGCATAATAATAGGAAGGATGATGACTCCTGCTTTTCTGTATGGGTTTTTAAATTTCATAGATTAACCATGCTTTATATTTAAAATGTAAAAGCTATTTGCAGTTTTCAGGCTAACTGGTGGGAAAATAATAAGGCAGAAAGGAATAAAGAACATGAGTTTTGTTCTCACCACAGACTTGACCTTGACTTCTGGCTTTGCCTCATACTAGCTGTGGGACTAGGCCAAGAGAGCCGCCTTTTTCATTATTGGTAGGATTAGGACACCAGGTCCTACCTTATAGGGCTGTTGTAAGAATGAAATATGAGATGCAGATATATAAACCCCTAGCATAATGCTTTGGGCATAATTGGTATTTGAATATAGAATAGCTTGTGATAATTTATTCACAATAATATAAATTGCTAATCACCAGTTTTAAAAACAACTTGTTTCCTATATTGAGTGAATCTTTCAGCTGCAATA